ATCATGTGATGGAAGCGAAGACATATAAAGTCGAGCACCGGCTTCAACATTGACCGGAATGTCGGACTTTATTTGTTTTGATATGTTTTTCAATATCTCTATCGCCTCTTCTTTGGACAGTTTTATCTCAGAATGTGGTATAAAATAATCTATTTTTACGTGACGGGGAAGGAATAGCCCGCCCTCGTCCTCGCAAGTAGTGGCCAGAAGTGACATATCTTTCTTAAAATTCTTCTTCTCCAACATATCCAGTGGTCTTTCGGGTAGAAACTGATCGCCGTATGTGACGATCGCCATAATTCCCATCCAATCGCTTGTCATTTCCGGTTGACTGTAACTTTGAGCCAACTCTTGGGCCGGTATTTGGCGCAAACACTCCATGTCTTTATCGGTGAATTGTTTTCCGTCTCCACATTTGGCCGCTTTCGCCACTTTTAGCCAATTTTGTAGAGATTGTTGAGGACTTTGGCCCGTTTGGTGCACAATCCCTGCGCCCGACATCACAATACCGTTTCTGAATAGACCTCTACTAATGGGAGACAACACGTGTAGACTTACAGACCATCCGCCGGCAGAGCAGCCAAAGATAGTCACTTGATTTGGATCGCCGCCGAAGTGAGCGATATTGTCTTGAATCCATTGGAGAGCCATTGCCTGATCCCATAGCCCCACATTTCCGGGCGCCTCATCGGTGCCGCTGTACAGGAATCCCAACGCGTGTAGTCTATACTGTATTGAGACGACCACCACATCTCCCAACGCCGCCAACGCCTCCCCATTTGTCAGCTCATGAGTGGACGAACCGGCTATAAGTCCTCCGCCGTGTATCCAAACCAATACAGGTCTTTGAGTATAACTAGACTTTCTCTGAGGCGACCATATATTGAGATAAAGACAGTCTTCGCTCCAAACGTCGCTGTTTTGACGAAACCATTCGCTATTGTTGGGCATCAAAGCCACTTCAATGCAATTGTTAGGCCATGTCTTCGCGTCAATCACCTGTCCGTCCCATTTGTATGGTTTAGGTTTTCTGAATCTCAAGTCACCGATCGGTGGTTCGGCGAAAGGGATCCCCAGATATACGTCCAGTTCTTTGCCTTCAAATGTTGTCTTAAATCCATTGTATTTGTGCTCAACATTCAACTCATCACTGCATCCAAACTCTGTTACATTGAGAAAAAGTGCGACAATTATTACAATTACAGAATTGATTAAACAATTCATTTTGCGTTCAATTGACTAAATAAACTTCAATTAAATCACAAGTTATAAAAGTTGTTTTTAACGCAATTTATTTGTGCCCAATGTTTGGTATTTAAAAGGGATTTTTATAGTACTTATAGTGCAATGGAATTATAAATCACTTACTGTTAACTTATCATTGCTAGAAATGTGATAATATTTTTGTAACATTAAGTACATTTACTATCTAACGACCTAAGGTCTAACTCACTTACCTTGAGTGCGAACATCCCTTTATAAGCTATTATATTACTGTATAATGGACTGGCGGTTAATCATGTATTAATAAGTGAAATAATAGTCAACTACTGTAGTAATTTTTAAACAATTTAAAAGTTAATTGTGTACTTAATGTTACAACACAGTTGAGGGGAATTCTTAATTTAATTAGACTACTACCTAGATATATTATCTAGATATATTATGCCTTAATACAACCAAGACTAATAATTTGTGATAGATTGCAAATTAATTTGGTATTATTATGTTTACTAATAAATTAGTGGCTATTTTAATTTTATTTTTATGTTTTACAAATCATTCACAAAATCCATGTAAAATAATAGTGAATTATTTGATGAAATTTTAGATTCTTACCGAATAAACTTACAAAAAATTACATGTAATGTGAAATCTAATAAACTCGTCTAATGTTATCACTGATAAGTTATCAGGGTAAAGTTACACTAAAAGGTTTTAGGCCCAAGATTTCAATTCACTAAAAATCACTTATAAGTTAGTATTGCATACAGTTATGGATTTAGATCTCTGTATAAACTATTTGAAATATTCCTTACATTAAACACTAATATAATTAATAGGAAATCAAATTATTGTTTTCATAAAAGCAAATCCGTTTAAAATTTAAAAATATTTTCTCCACAGGAAAACAGCTATCAGATTGTCATTTAATGTAAATCCGTTATCAGTAATAAGTTATTACTAATAAGTTATTACTATTTATTTGATTAATGTTTACAATTAAAACCATAAATAGCTCGTTGAATGATATTTATACCTTATACGAAATATGCATACAATGATCTCATAGACAACTTTGTTGAGTAAAACTTCATTCACATCTATTCCTTACCTCTTCTCATCGACTCTTCTCATGAATCCTATGTTTGACTTGACTTTCACTTTATAATAAGTGCTTAACTTTTGTTTTGCAAACTTCAAGGAGAACCACATTTTGGAGGGGATGTTGTGTTTGGGATGTCGACTACACATCTGGTATAACCACAACTGCATAAATTGTATACTCTATTAATAGAAAGGTATAGCAAATGATGGTTTGGTTGAGTCCATGGATAGCAATCTTCAGACTACCAGTTGGTAAACATGGTTTCGTTTATAAAAGTTGTGTTATTTGTCATGTTTAAAGTGTTTATTGAAGTTTTAAAACAAATTATACCTAATTTATATGGAAAGACATTTCAGTATTTAATTGATTACAATTTAGAATATATTGTTCAAGTGTTCGTTGATTTCGCCAAATATTTACTATAAATAGTAGTTTTAAAGTAAACACACATTAAGTGTTCAAAAGTCAATTTAGTAATGTGTCAAAACAACCCACATATCAATCACATCTATTATCTTCATTAATATTAATACATAAATATTATTTAATTATTTAATTACTTTTAATATTTTGTATTATTTTGCAAAACAACTTATTATAGCGACAATTATCTGAATTATTGGCACAAAAATGTCATTAATGGCCAAACTTTCCGTCGACTTCGAGAACGAAGACACAAAACGCAAAGTGTGTTTCATTGGCATCTCGTTGTCACTCATGTTATTATCGCTTCTCATACTCTTTCTCATGCCATACAATACGGCCGATAAGACCACAGATCAGCTCATCGAGAGGCGCATCATTCAGATCATAACCATCTCATTGTTGGCCATCACACCGATGGCACTGTTGGCTATCACTGTCAGCCATCCGTCCATCAATAGTGCGATTCTGTTGTTCGTTGTGGGCATCGGTTCCGGGTGTTTGTGTGCCATCACTTTCTCCATGTTTTTCCTCAACATATTGTTCACATTATTGGATATAATAATCGGGAGGTTTCGGCTCAACGTAATGGAGATCATAGCAATCAATGTCCTAATGATTGGCTTTACGGTCGTATTGTACGCGAAGACACACCTCTCGCGTGAACTGTATTTACAATATCTGGAGAAACAGAAGAATACAAATACCGCAGAAGTGAACGGTTCTGTTGAGGATTTGGGTGATTCTGTAGCCGTTGAGGTCATCGGTGGTAATAATGGAGACACTCATAGAAAACCCAACTTTATTACCAACAGTAGTCGTACGGCAGGAACTTATTATTTGAATTAAGTTTCACTTTTAGTTTTTTTTATGCAAAGAAAATCATTTTTTGCTCATTTATGTTTTAATTTATATGTAAAATTTATATGCAATACAATTATCCAATTGTATACTTAATTAATTTAAATATTGACTTAAATATGACGATTAGTTAGAAATTATGTTTTGAAATGCTTTTTGTATTGTAATTTATAAAATTAAGTTTTATATTTATTTGTAAATTAAACATATCGTTGTAATCATAATTTATATTTGAAATGTAAAATCTAAATTCATATTACGGTATAATAAACAGTATTATTCAATACGTTTGCAGTGATTTTGTTAATTGACAGAAACTACTTATAAGGCTTTAATTGTTTTCTATTAAACTATTGACGAATTGAATTGAATTGATTAAATTGAATCCATATTAAGATTTTTAGAAACAATTTAACGAATTATTTTGGTGTTAACTGTTTTTATATCTTTTTATTTGAAATTTAACGTTTTTTGTCTAATAAATCAGACTCTTGTTTATGACTTAAAATTATGAGATAATCTCTTCAGTGTTTTCTAATATACATTAATTTCAATAATCTAATGATTAGTAGACTTTGAGATAATTTTCATTAATTTGAACTCAAATTTATTTCAAACGGTTTTTACAATAAAATGAATACAAAATTTATATCAAATCTCAAAGAATTTTATTCTGATTTCAAAACATAACAAGAATTTTGTGTAAGAAATGAGACACAAATGTGAGAACCGGTTCTCTACTCTTCGTCAGCTCCGGACGAACGGCGACGCCTTCTCCTCCTTCGGCCGCCTTTGCGACCCTTTCGACCGCCAGAACGCGACCGACGCCTCCGTTTGCGTCCCGAACGCGACCGACTCTTTCCGCCGCTTCTTCTTCGGCGGCGTCGGGTCTCGAGAACCTGTCCTCCAGAACGGCCCGAACGCAACGCTTCTGACTCTTCTTCGTCTTCGTTCTCTTCGTCCGAAGGCAGCGGTCTTTCCATCTCTTCCGAAGACGACGACGAGTTGTCGTTCGGCTCGTCCGGTGTCTGTCTCTCTTCAGATCGGGTCTCACTTTCAATTGGTTTCATTTTGGGATCGATTTCACAATTTTGTCTTCACTTTCACTCAACGGAAATGAAATTTGAAATGATTTAACCGTCAATTCAACGGTTGGTTTATATACTCTCAAAAGTTAACAACAATTAACTTATTTCGTGATCTAAAGTCATTATTAAAGAGATTATTAATCCATTGTTGAAGAGAGTGACCGAAAGAAAATTATTTATATTTTAAGTTTATGAAATGTTATATTTTGTAAGTTTATTCAACTAATTATTAAATGTGTTAAACATAACTTTTAATTATACAATAGTTTCTTAACTAATAAACTAATACTTATAATAAATGCATTTTCCCCCAATAAATAATCTAATTTAAATGTGCGCCAAATTGTGATTGTGTTGTATGGGGACAGACGTGTAATACTGATAGCCATAGAGAGGGTGTCCGTAAGGAGTGGTGTATATCTGATGGTTGGCAGCGGACAGGTATTTGGCGTTAATCCTCGACTGTTGTAATTGACGCCAATCTCTAATCATAATCGCAAAACACAACGACTCGATGGACAGCAACAGCAACACCAGTGTCCTGAACACTATGAGGCCCGGACTGGTCAGCACTCGCGAGTACATGAACAGCAACAGATAGAATATGATGATCACCGCGAAGATCATCACCGACGGGATGTGCTCTTTGGCAATGGCCAACAGACCGATCACAAACACAATTACTCCCACCTGTAAAGAGTGGACATTAATAAATTAAAATTTATTAATACATGTATTAAAATAAATGTGACCAAGGATATAATTCCGAGGCTGAGAAACATTTTCTCTTTGGATTTGGTTTCGGCCACTATTAGCACAATGAGTGCCATTGAGAGTAATATAGTTAAGGCAGCAATCAGTGAGTATTTCACAAATTTAAAGCATTTGGTTCTGGGTATCACTTCGGCGGTCGTGTAGTCGTATTGAATTACTGTGGGCTCCATATTATAGCCGATCACAAACTTTAGTTCCTGTATTCAATATCTGTTGTGTTTTTAAAAAATCTCACTTTTATTAAGGAATTAAACTAAACAAAAGTTTTTATTTTATTTGAAAATTTTACACTGAATTTACATTCAAACACATTATTCTTTCACTTTGACTAAAGAGTTACTACTATTTGATTGAAATATAAAAAAGGACTGCAAAATAGCACTTCAAATCACATACAGTACACAAGACATTGGGATTTAAGTGACAAAAACTATTTTAAGACATTTGTTGGAGACGTTGTGTGGCAAATACTAAATATAACTAATGCTTAGCTCTGGAAGTGCTGATGTGATAGCGATGTGCCATAGAGTACAGGGCTATACAATAATAAGCGTGTCTACAATAGTATGCAATGAATGCCAATTTGGCACTCAATCCCATATCTAAACGCCGATTACATTATACACCAAACGGTGTTTTAAAGGAAACCATTCAAACAAATTCCCTAATTCTTCAATATATTCTCGTATTTCATAAATCAAACAATTATTTTCAAAATAAAAGTATAGGAATTCAACATTTAATTTATTACTTGCGTATAGTTTCTTATAGACAAATAGTTTACTGAACCCAATGTTTGAGTTATATTTAGTAGCAAAATAGTCAATACCTATTAAATCACACCATTAGTTGTCTGTATATTTAATCCCTGATTATATAATTTAAAATGTTCATCAATTTTTCCATATATTAGTTGCATGTATTAACAAGATTTTCTCTGTTTTTGTGTATAGTGTTTGAGTAAATCTCTAGTCTTGTCTATAAGTAGGGATGAAAATTTCACTGAAATTTTTATATGAACATTTCATTTATGCTATATATTGAAATTTTGGGCTAAATTTTCATAAAAATGTGAAATCTTCATATACATTTTAACTAGATACTTTTAATGTGGTGAAATATAAACATCAAACTAATTAAAACATTTAACTTAAAACTTTTTAGTACAAGTAAGTATAAATTATTACAATATAAAGGGTCATATAATGCATGCCGTTTATTGAGTTACGTTATCAGTGAATAAAACCTAACAAAAACCAATAGCGAAACTTAAAAGGCCATAAAAACTTTACAATACATATTACGGGCCTATAGTTGGTAGACATATGTTGTAAGTATGCGTTGAATACTGAGCCCCAAAATATGCTTAATGTTTGCTTCATTAGTGGTAACGCAATCAAAATCATGAAATATTTGCAGTAAAATGTGTTTACCTTTTGATTGTATGACCAAAACATTGCATTCAATACACATTCAATTGAATACACATTGCATTCAATGATTGAGTTTTACGACTATTTAATGCATTTTTCATGTGTTTTAATGAATTAATGATTTTGTCAATCGTTTGATTCAGTCATTCATTGTTTAATAAACGATCGGTTCATCCGTTTTGGCCATTAAAAGGCATTGGATTTGTTTATACCAAACATTAACACCAATTATAAGCACTTTATAAGCGTATGCTTTGTCTCGCAATACATGTCTAACAGTTATATGTGTTTTAGTATCTGTTGTTACGATTATTATATACAAAATTAGTGCTCAAATCAATTGTAAAACACGTTTTGCTTTTTTGATTGTCTCTCGTATTGTAATCGTAAGTATTGTTTGTATTGATTATATCTCAAACACATTGGCTGTAAATCATAGTCAAAATTAAGGCAAATAATTGCCATTTGATTGCAATATTGTTTACGTGTTTGGCATTTGATTTTGCGTTGAAAGTCATGCAAATGTGCCGTAAATTAGTTGCCATCGAAATGACATATAGATGTATATAAAAATATGTTGTGAAACATTGCACTCATTGTCCCAACAATTTGCTACTCATTTCAATGTCTAATCCGTTCAAACCTATTGTCTATTTGTGGTACAGATGTGGTGAACAAAGAGCTGATGGTATGCTTATTGCGGACCCAATGATGAGCTAATCGATGGCCATATAATTAGTGTTGCCTTTCTGTACGTATAACTGACCCGTCATTGTCTTAACATATGATATGAAGATTGGGTTTAAATAAATAGCATTTTGTTGAGAGAGAAAAATGTGTCAATTCATAGACATTAGTGAATGAATCAATGAATTAGACTTTGATTTGCATATGTATTGAATAACGCTTGAAATGCAGTATTTATTGCCGTCATATAAATATGAAAATAGCATTGAAATGAAAATTATGTGCACTTTTTCGCCTCTAATACTGAGTTCCTGTTGTTTTGATTATCGTTTTAACGTTACGTATGTTTGTTTGAGATTTGATTTTTCCCATAGATTTTGATGGCGTGAGTGAAGTGTATGGCTCTGTATCTCTAATCTAATGTCAATATACAGTACAGTTTGCAATTCAATGTCTTTTATGTTATCAAAACTCGCAATTATTATGTAGTAATTTTGCGCTCAATGTTCGCATAGATATTAGACTTTGTTATTCACTCAAAACAATGACAAAAGTGCTGTTAATTGTTGTATAATAAACGCCTTACAGTGTAATCAAGGGCTGAATAATTGCAAAAAGAGTTGTATAATAAAACAAATGCTATGGTTTAGAAAAGTAGTGTTATTTTTCCACTTGAAATCCACACTTTATCGGCAAAACTTGTTATGAATTTTCAGGCCTTGTATTGCCTCAAAAAGTCTTATAATTTAGTGCTTCTTTGATAACGAGTTACATATATTAATGTATTTTATATGAATATTACTGTTAAATAACTTGTTTTTGACGAAAAAACTTTGTTAATCAATACATCTGTTTAATATGTTAATGAAATTAAACCGTTTCAATGAGTTTTCCCTTTAATTGATATCATTTGCCCAATTTTGTCGCACTTTTCTCACACTCTTTGTATCCCATA